GAAGTATGTTTAATGATCAAGTTTAACTTCATTACAATATTATTGCATTATGTTTTGCTTTGATGAAATTAAAGAAATGCAATAAAGAAATCAGATTTTTTAATGTTTTTTTTATTTTGAGGATTCAAAAAAACAACATCAAAATGAATGTGCACAACGTGCCCCTTATCTGGACAACAAACAGTGCAATAAAATGCAGCCTGCCATTTCCATTTCAAGATCAGCTCGAGTCATTCCTGGGAATGTGCTCAACAAGGAAGGGTTAATCTCCAAGGGTGTGTGTCAAGGAAAGACAGTCTCGTTTTTTCCTTTCGCAACTCACAAAATCTGCTCCCAAATGCAGTTTGCATATCAACGATCGCACCTTGTAAATAATCACCGTTGAGTGAGTGATCGGGATGGGCTTCTTTGAATTCTCTCAGGGAGGAAAAATGAGAACGCGTGCCCCGCTGTACATCTTTGGCAAAGACAGCTGGTGCTCCATGGCGCATCACACAGCCGCCGGTTTGTTTACAACAGCTACCTGCCTGGCATCCCGTCCTGCTGATAGAAACGTGTCTCGCAGGCTATGACGCAAATCTTCGTTGACAGAAATGTTGAAATTAAATATTCTACACACTTTTACAGCGTTGGAAAACGTTAAGATTGTTTGTCCTCCTATAGAAACCATATTAAAACAAAAAAATATATTTACCTCCCTCATCGTTTTCCATTTTCAAACATTTTTTGAAAAAGTTTCAGGGAGCCACTAGGACAGCGCTAAAGAGCCGCATGCGGCTCTAGAGCCGCGGGTTGCCGACCCCTGCATTAAGGGAAGTAACTGCTTGTCCAGGAGAAAATGGTCAATCCTGGAATAGGTTTAATGCACAGGTGAATAGAAGGAAAATTGCTTGAAATGGATATTTAAATCTCCAGGGTTCACTTACAGCTTATGTCTGAGGGAAGGAGTTGATACATTGTGCTGGCTGACAATGTATTACTCGAAGAGCTAGAGCAGTTAAAAATTGTGTGCAAAACACAATTTAAATCGCCTCCTCAAATTAAATTGTGTGTGTTGAGACTAGGCAAAATTGAAAATAAATCACTAAAAAATTGTACATTGTCCCAATTAGGAGCATACACATCGGCCAGGACCACAGACATGTTAAAAAGGTAACCTTGGATTATTATGTATCTGCCATTTTTAATCCAACAGATTTGACTTCAGAACAAACTGTACATTCTTATGTATGAGTACAGCAACGCTCCTACTTTTGCTATTAAAGTTAGAATGATATATTTGTGTATAACCTCCTCTATTAAGTTAAAAATAGTCTTTTTTTCAACAGATGTGTCTCCTGTAAAAATACAATATCAGATTTTAACTTATTGAGGTATGCAAAACCCTTGTTTCATTTCACTGGGTGATTTAGCCCCCGCACATTCTAACTGGTAAAGTGGCCAAAGCCTCGTTGGTTCTTTTTCAACCATGCCAGGACACGCGGCTAAAGGCCCGCAAAAAACATATGCGCTTGCTTGGCTATACAGTCTGGCCAAAGACCCCCTGGTTCTTTTTCAACCATGACAGGATGTGCAGCCAAGGTCTCGCAAAAAACGGACGCACTTGCTCTGGTATAAAGCCTGGCCATAGCCTCTTTGGTTATTTTTCAACCATGCCAGGACGTGCGGCTAAGGACCCGCAGGAAACGGACGCACATGCTTGGGTATACAGCTTGGCCAAAGACCCCCTGGTTCTTATACAACCATGCCAAGACGAGTGACCAAGGGCCCGCAGGAAACAGACGCGCTTGATCAGGTATACAGCCTGGCCAAAGACCCCTTGATTAATTTTCAACCATGCCAGGAAGCGCGGTCAAGGGCCCTCGGGAAATGGATGCACTTGCTCGGGTATAAAGCCTGGCCCAAGACCCCGGTTCCTTTTCAACTATGCCATGACGTGCAGCCAAGGGCCTGCGGAAAACGGACGCACTTGCTCAAGTATACAGCCTAGCCAGAGAACTGCCTGGTTCTTTGAACTGTACATCCGCCAAAAACAAAAAGTTCACGATTTCACTCCTTCCCCCAAATCCTGATGGCAGGTCAGAGACTATTGTTGTCAGGCACGTACCTCCAGGCACCGAAGGTCCCGGAAAGGTGGTCTCCCGTCGAGCTTGGGCCTGGCAGGCTTGGGCTTAGGTTTAAACAACTCTATCGGTGAGCACCGTCAAGCCGTCACCACCAGCCGTTCCAGAGACCACCAATCTTCCACTGGACCTTGCTCATTCCAGATGCTCGCTAGAATAACCCACCATCCCCCCAAATGGATTTCATTCCCAAATGAGTGTTTGTTGGCCATATCCCCAATCATTTAGGGTGCTTTCACACCTGTGAATCGATTCAGTTGTTCCGAAACAGAGATTACAATTGTTACATTGTTGCTCTTTGCTCTTGGAGCGGTTCGCTTTCACACTGCAAAGTTTCTAATCGGACCAAAGAGCTAAAACAAGTCACGTGCGAGTAAACTCTCCTCACATTGGTCAGAGTGTCAGGGTTTATTTTGCAGTGTCCCTCTCAGCTGTCAGGAGAGGTGGTGGTTTGGTGGTGATTGACAGGGTGCGCGCGCTACGTGTTTGTGGAGAGATGCGGTGGGTAGAGGTGAGAAGGGTGCGCGACGATGCCTATTTGAGGACCGGGAGGGAGACGCGAGATTACCGGGAGATCATCACTTGTTTGCGGGCATCCGGAGACTCGCGAAACTTCCCGCCATACTCATAATTCTCTCTTCATATAGCCGTAAGCCTATTACATATCCATAAAACACTGTGATATAACCGCGCTTGGATCGGATCGCTTTCTCACTGCAATCGAACCGCTCCAGGGTTCGTTTCCATCGAGCCGAGACCACCTCACTCAATCGATCTCAAAGCGATTACTTTGGCACGGAACAGAGCGCGATTGCCCTGTTCACATATGCCAGACGAACCGCGCTAACTGGGCAAACGAGATACGTTCCGAAACAAAAGTGTAGGTGTGAAAGCACCATTATTTTACTTTCTCGGATTAGGATATTTTTTGTCCTGTCCCCATAGATCTGCTATCTTTTAAACAAAGCTATTTAGTCATTCTATGATCATTACTATAGAATTAGGCCATTTACACTGCACTGTTCAAGTGAAATTTCATTTTTTTTTTCTTCGCCCATGTGGCATAGATCGGATATGGCCCATGTATGTGTAAGCCGGAACAAATCATGTGGATTCCGATTTACTCAAATCAGATTCAGGCCTTGTTCATATGTGAAAATTTATCCGAAATGAATCGGTTCTGTGTTCTCGTGTCTGCAGTGTAAGCAGGTTGATCAGATTTTCACCTGTCAATACGAATTGTGCATCATTAAAAACCATGATGTTTAGTCTGACACTTTCTTTTCAGAACAGACTTCAGCAAACCCAAAGTCCCAAACCTTAAATCTCATACACGAGAACTTAAACAGCTTTTACACTGTCATATAGCACAGGTATTTAAGCATGTTAACGAGAGCGAAAGAGCGCAATGTTTGCCACGTAACCTATATAAACTTATATAAAACTAGTGCATACATCACATGCATAAATCACACCATGGACATTACATTAAGATGCCTAAAGGTTTAAATAAGCCTAAAGGTCAAAATAAGATGGACAAATGAGAACCTTTCTGTCTTAAACTATAGCAAAACCGTTTGTAAAAAGAACAGATTTCATACAGGAATAGAGAAAAGAGCACGCTTTCATTATCAGCTGTAAGTCAGCGTCCGCTCTTTTTTTTTTTCCTCTCTTGGTCATTGCGCCTTTGCCGTGTGCTGTGTAAATGCAGATGATCGGATATGAGTCACTTTTAAAAGATGATGTAAGTAGGTCATCAAAAAAATCGGATACAGTCACAAAATTGACCATTAAAATCTACTAAGACCACTAAGAATCTCCTCGAGGAAAGGAGTGTGTTGAATATAGGAAAGGCACACCCTTCACAGTGGTTCAAAAGATATCTGAAGTTATATATTTATTGTTTTGATTGTCTATTTCTGAGGGAATGAGACCATTGTACCAGTCGCACTGAGACATTCAAAATTATATCAAACATGATAAAGTCACGTGGGTTGATATAGAACATTCATATTTTGAAATGACCATTTTGTGTGAGTAGAGTGAAAAGGGGCTGAGTGACCAAGGGGAGATGTTTCAAATGTAAATGAAGGAAAGGAGGGGAGCTGGTTTTCCCGCATTCCCACCTGCTGTGAAGCCGATTGTCTCTGTGTTTTCAGCTCATGTTTGAATTGTCAAAGACATCAAAATGTTTGTGATATCTTAAGTCTTACAATGCACAGGTATGTCACGTCTGAGAGGTAAATATTCAGGTGTCTGTTCAGCTGTTACCCCAGAACATTTTTTTTTCTGATGCGTTTACCAGTCAGGCACAGAATGAACAAGTATTCCCTGTCTGCTTTACAAATTTTAGAAAAACATTTTGTTGTAATTATAAATATATACAAATAAAAATAGCCATTTACAGCTTTCAAATCTCTGTCTTATCAATATGACTAAAATGACTTCTATGATCAATTATGTAAAAACTGACAACTGGACAGACAGTTTGAATTTATTATAACTTTCATGTTAAGCTGCTTTGACACAATTTACATTGTAAAAGCACTAGATAAATAAAGATGAAATGACTTGAATCTGCTTAAATGTTCTCACGTTAATGGACCGAACAAAAAATTATCTGATTTATTTTACATTTAATGTGCATCAAAATTAGTGTGTGTAGCCAATGTTTCCAGTGTCTTCACTTTTCTGCTTTTGATGAGTTTTTAAGACTTAATGAATTTATTTATTTTTTTCAGACGTAATTGAAGAGAATATGGGGAGTAAAGAGGAGGAACATCATGTCAAAATTGAGGAAAAAACTCAAAAAAAGGAAAAGGAAAAAAAGTTACAGACTGGTGGTATTTGGAAAAGAAGAGACAGAAATCGTTTCACCTGCACTCAGTGTGGAAAGAGTTTTGGAAGAAAAGTCAATCTTAAGTTTCACATGATGATCCACACTGGAGAGAAACCATTCACATGCACTCAGTGTGGGAAGAGTTTTGGAAGAAAAGGGAATCTTAAATTTCACATGATGATTCACACTGGAGAGAAACCATTCACATGCACTCAGTGTGGGAAGAGTTTCAACAAATCATCAAACTTTAATAATCACATGAGGATCCACACTGGAGAGAAACCATTCATATGCTTTCAGTGTGGGAAGAGTTTCAACCAATCATCAGCCCTTAATCTACACATGAGGAGCCACACTGGAGAGAAACCATTCACATGCACTCAGTGTGGGAAAAGTTTTAACAGCTCATCAAACCTTAATCAACACATGAGGATCCACACTGGAGAGAAACCATTCATATGCACTCAGTGTGGAAAGGGTTTCAACCAATCACCACATCTTAATCTTCACATGAGGAGCCATACTGGAGAGAAACCATTCACATGCACTCAGTGTGGGAAGAGTTTTATCTGCTCATCAAACCTTAATCAACACATGAGGGTCCACACTGGAGAGAAACCATTCACTAGTACTTAAGCTGCGGTCACACTGGACTTTTCTCCTCAGACTTCCATTCATACGCACACGAATACATCAAACTTGAAAGCAAGTTCTTGCATCAAGTTTTGCAGTTCACTTCGTGAACTCTGGCCTGCGAAATCACATCACTTGACTGTGTGAGACCAATTAAAGATCAAAACATGACCTGTCTGGACAGAAACGTAAATTATGGTCGTCGCCAATAGCCTAGTGGTTAGTGCGTCGACACATAGCACCAAGGTGCTCACGGCGACCCGAGTTCGGTTCCCGGCTCGAGGTCCTTTGCGGATCCTTCCCCTATCTCTGCTCCCCACCTTTCCTGTCTATAAAAATCTCTACTTTCCTATCCCAATAAGGGTGAAAACCCCTAAAAAATAATTATATAAAAAAAGTAAAATATGGACCAATCGCTCACCTTTTTAATGACTAATCATCTTGTTTAATCCCGCCCCTTTTTGCAGCGCCATACAACAGAACTTTGCATGCTTAAACTCTAGTGTGACCGCAGCTTCAGTGTGGGATGAGTTTCAGCAACTCCTCAGACCTTAATAAATGCATGAAGAACCACACTGGAGATAAACCATTCACATGGACTCAGTGTGGGAAGAGTTTCAACCGATCAGCAATCCTTAATGAACACATAAAGACCCACCCTGGTGTGAAAGAGTATATGTGCTTGAGTGTGAGAAGACTTTTATTACAGCGCCAAAATTGAAACTGCACCATACGTTTCACACTGGAGAGACTGTACAAGTGTTCACACTGTGACACAGGCCCAGATTGGCTAATCGGGAGAACCAGGACAATTCCCGGTGGGCCGGTCTGTTTTTTGGCTGCGAGGGCCGATGTCCCTAGCTGCTTGCACTCTTAGCAGTTGCACTTTTTAAATTTAAAATTAATTTAACCTCACTCTTTTTAATCATTATTTTGCCGCAGCTCCGCTCTTTTTGTTTATTTTCTCGCAGCCCTGTGAGCAAAATGCAGCCCGCAGGTTAATGATGATCATTGACCTGCGGGCTGCACCCCATTCCACCCCAAACAGCGGCACCTTAGTGAATATTAATTAATATGAATGAATATTACACCTGCTCAATGAAAATCAGATGATTCACTACATTAATAAATCTGACATAATTTGATCAGAAATCTAAAAAGGGGAGAAAAAGAGTAGGGTGAAAAAAAGAGTAGGCATCAATAGCAGCAGATAACGTTGCAGAGCTTAACAGCGCCATCGTGGTCTAGTGGTCAGCACGTTACGCTTTGAAGCAGCCAACCCGAGTTTGAACCTCACCAGTATATAATACGTTTTTTTTCAATGTTAAGACATAAAATACTGTTTGGGTTACTTATGTACTTATGTTTTTTGTGTGTGACGATCATTACAAAGGACTGGATATCTATAAAGAATTAATGTTCTCATATTTATAAAAAATATTTGAAGTTCTAAAGCAGCTGTGTCTTTGAAAAAGACATGTTAGTGTCATTTGAAACTGAATTGGAAATGACGTTATTTTAATATAGCCAGTCGTCGACTGAGGTGGGCCGGTCTAAGGCTTGAAACTCCAGAGCTAAAAAGGAGTCCCACTCCGGCCCTGCTGTGACAAGAGGTTTAATCAGTGAACACATCTGAAAACACAAAAGAGGATTCACACCGGAGAGAAACCGTACAGATCTGATGAGTGTCTACAGCAGGGGTGTCAAACTAATTTTAACTTAGGGGACACATGGAGGAAAAGGGCCAGACCGGTAAAAACATGATATATATAACTTAAAAACAATAACGTCAATTTTTTTCTTTGTTTTAATATGATCAACATAAAACATAAAGCTTTAACCATAACATTAACAAACATTATAACCATATTGTATAAATATTATTATCACTATAAGCCTACATCATGCTGATGATCGAAAATACAATGTCATGATATCTCATGCGCTTGTCTTCTGACTGAGTGCATCTTAAAATACATGAATGACACCCCTCATAGAGCTTGAGAAGCAGACATTCTTTATAATTTTTCAAACAAAGACTGCAAAGCTTCTGCTTTAAGCTAAACTGACTTTTAAATCTCTACTATAAAATACATCTACTCTAAAATATACAGACAAATGTAAAATACAGTAAACACCCTAAATCTGTTGAAACGCGATGATCTGATGGCGGTTGAGTTTGCAGCTGGATATTATTGGGAGATCGCTGACAGGAACAGTAAACACTAGTGGGCCACGGCGCACCGGTTGAGAATCCCTGCTTTATCAGATGAAATTAACCATTTGCAGTTGGCCATCCAGTGGACACAATTGGAACAGCAGCTTCATTTATTGAAAAATTGCAGCTCGTTTTTATACTTTACAGAATCATCTCGCGGGCCGAATTAAACCTGTTTGCGGGCCTGATCCCGTACATTTGACATCCCTGATGTACAGGGTCAAGAGATTTAGAGTTTTTAAAGCATTCGTTAGGTCCAGAATTACAATAGATTTGAAGTATTACAAGGCCATAAATGTTGCTGAAACTTTGAAACAACAGTGATGCTACAAGGACGCTGTCTGGAAAGTGGAGGAAGGAGAGCTGCTGTTAGATCTGCTGAGGACTTACAATTTGTGAAATGAAAAATTTGGTAACGCTTTCTTTTACAACCCAAAGTACACAAAGTACCGTGTAAGTACAGTGAAATAACAGTGTTATACAGAAAGTACGTGTAGTGTAAGTTTAATAAACGTATGTGTATGTTTAAGGAAACAAACTGTAATGCTTGCATAATAAGGGGGTAACAACCAGATATTCAACACAAAAATTATAGCGTATGTACAGTGAAATGTACTTTTCGGTGTACTTTTCTGTATGTATAGTGTATGTATAAATAACGTTTGTGTAGGTATAAAGGAACAAACTAAAACTTTTGGGTAATAAGGGGGTAACAACCAGATATTCAACATGGAAAGTACTGCGTAAGTACAGTGAAATAACGATGTACTTTTCTTTAAATTGCAAAGGAACAAACCGTAATGTTTGCGTAATAAGGGAGTAACAATAAGATTCAACGTGGAAAGAACCGCGTAAGTATATTACGTTTAGATGTACTTTTCTTCATGTATTGTAAACATATGAAGAATTATGCAATGGTGGTGACAACCTAATGCAACCTGCAAATGTACATGCACCTGCGTAAGTACATTAGTACTCTTATTCAGTGCTTGGGTTTTATATGGGGTGTTTATTGAATAAAAGGTTTACAACATGTAAAATTATGAACCCTTGTTGTATACTGTATGTATTTTAAATCTGCAATTTAATATAAAAATATATGTCCTTACACTACTTACCTTATGAATGTTTACTCGTCGATCTCACCACAGCCATCAATGTCTCAACATCACTATCAACAAATAACTTTGCATGATATAGGCCTACCGTCAGGGTTCAATGCAGATGAAAACAGGCTCGCATCTTTACTGCTGTTTGCAGAGGGGGGACAAACTGTTGCATTTCAGTGAATGTATAGCTGATGCTTTATGGAAAATTGTAGTAATTTGGTCTTCAATGAATAAAAACTGATGCTGTAGTTTTCTCTGTTCTTAGTGTTCAAGTATACACTAGTGTATATCATTTACTACTTCTGATGGATATTTACTTATTGATGGATATTTGCAGAACAACTGTAAAAAGTCAGTAAAAAGTATTGACAAATTAACATGTCAAAATTGAATTGAATTTGTATTTTAGAGCTTTTGTGTTTGCAGTGCAATTTAACCACAGTTAAATTCAGAAGTGGTCTGGTTGAAGAAAGTTAATGCATGGAATTTTTAACATGGAGATCTAGTGCATAAAGGGAACATATCTCAAAGTGTTATGAATATTTGAAAATATTTATTAAAATCTACATCAATCTCAGGATTTACATCTCACCTATCTTTTTCTTAAAGAACTGCCACTGAGATATCATTTGCTCATTACTTTCTGGCAGTCAGTCAAAACTTTACTTGCATATAAAGATGTTCAGCAGCTGATTGGTTCTAGAACCTTTGGGCTCCTTTTAAGATGCTGTTGAAAACAAAAGAAAAATAGAGAAAAGACATGACATATATATCGTATGTAGACCTTTTTCATGGAACGCGAAATTACCCATTAAAGTTTTGCGCGTACGCGTAGCGAGAATGCGACGAACTTCCGGTTCACACTAGAGATCAATGAATTGCGTTCACGTTAGAGCTATTTAGACGGATTTGAAACGATGGTTGTTACCTATTTTACCTAGTTGAAACGTCCACAATGTCGACAAGATGCAAAATTAGTTTGCGATGGCAGCACGATCAAAATTACTTAATAAAGACCGTAAACGAGGTAACTCTGTCTGTTCCTTACCCCATGTTGATTTGTGCCTCCTCCTGGACTGATGATATGAAACAATGGCCAGCCCTCACATATGTTGACATATTCAGTTATCTTGTTTTGTCCGAGGGTGTAGATGGTGAAGAGCTTAGAAATTACAAAAGCACAAAAGCATACCGTTATCTACACAGTAATAAAATCAGATGCATCCTTTGTCACAAATATCAGCAGTTCACATTACTGAAAGCGGAGGTAGACCCAAGTCAATCTGTAAATAAACCCAACCACATGGCGTGGGTTATGTTACAAAATAACGGAGTAGTAGAAACAGCTAGACGTTCCTGTGTAGCTGGCCCTGGCAGGTCTTGTAGCCATGCTGTTGCAGTGTTGTGGAAGGTGAGTATAATAAATTGCGTGACAAGCTGTTTTGATTTTTATTTTTTACCACATGCTTCCGTTTAAATTCAGTTGTTGATTTAAAAAAAAAAAAAAAGTTATTTCTTTAAATTATGAACATTCACACCAACCTTTTATTTTGTACTTGTACATGTATAACTTTTTATAAATATGTTCAGTAAAATACAAATCTGATATCCAGAATTCATACAATGCATCGGATCATAAATAACCATTGTTGTTCTTGAACAGAATTTGTGTGTGGTGAATGA